GAATCTCCCGTTCCTGCCGATGTGACCGTGACTTATCTTCACGTGTCTGTCCAGATGTTGTTGTCCCAGACATCTGACGTTGCAGTGGGGACACTGAAGTGTGCGACCAACACCTGTGAAACACATTGAGAGAAGAGGGATGTCGACAATGTTTCTGGCCAGATGTGAAAAATCAGACAAAAATGATTTCATCCTGGGTGATACTCAATATAAACAATGAAGGACATGCATCGCTTCCTTAGTAGCGATGCATTAGTTGTCGGTGAAGCAGGATTAGGGCGCCAGCTGTGCCGTCCGCATCTGGACGAAGAAGTTTGAGAGCCACTGAAGGTACTGACCGATGCCTGACATGCGGTCACGACGTAAAGAGACGTCGAGTAGCGGTGGTGGAACAAACAGTCACCAGCCGATAAACACGTAAAGGACAAGATCGGTTGGCTGACACAGATGAAAATTGAGCGTCCACAAAGGCATGGGTGCCGCAACACCCTATGAAATGTAATGTCCCCAAACGCAAGGATGGCTCAAGAGCCCCAGGTTTTTCATGCAGCTCCTCAAAATGCAGCAGCTTGCATAAATTCCAACAATGCTGAACAGATGGGCTAGATGCGGATTGAGTAACATTATGTGCCCCACTCGATGTCAATAAAAATGTTGTGGTTCTTATTGAAAACTTCGACAACATGGACAATATGTTCAGAAAAAAATGTTGACATTCAAGACTACCCGAAACGGTATTCAATGCCACCTTCACGCTATCTGTTCCGGTGTACAGTCATGAACTAGCGTTTTGTTCTTGTCAAAAAGTTTGGATTTCTGTTGCAAATACAAACTTTTTACATTTCATCCAACATGGCCACAGGAACCAAGGCGATAAATATGTACATACTAAGTGGCGTCACGAGAGAATGCTGACGTCATGGTGCAAACTTCTTCGGGAGTAAAAAACTGCATCCATTTGATAGTTTTAGACACTGAAATCTTGTTTCGTTAGACTGATCCTGAATATTACGCAATATCCCAAAACAATTAAGTAATTAAAGAGATTGGGTACCTCATAAAAAGGCAAATTCACACGATGACATCACGAAAAACGAACACGTTACAGGTATGCCAGTGACTACAGCCTGGTCACCGGCACGTTGTTGTATTGATAGTACCGGACTTTGTCAAGCAAAAACAAACCTTTTAACTTCAACAACATAAATGCGCTCGATAGTTTTCGAGAACACCCTGCTGACAGGATGTGCCCCGTGACACTATCTGCCCCAATCTTCCCTACCCATCGGCTGTCAACTATTCAAAATCATTTTAAAAGGTAAAATCGTTCCCCTCAGCAGTCCTTTAACCCTCGCCCGTAAACGGCGATCTGCCACCTTCGCCCATGCAGGGGGGGGTTGGTGCGACCCCCCCCCCTTGGCGTTTGAAAACGGAGCGTCGTAGAGCTTAGCGGAAAAGACCAACGGATTGCTCTCGCCGAGATATCGCGATTGGTGGTATATTTTTTGGTCCTAGGTCAACATTTGACCTACTTTTGACCGGTCAAAGGTCAAATTTTCGGAAAAATAGACTTTTTCAAATTTTCCGCGGCGATTGCGGCAAAACGGTGGGAGACATCGACTTGAAACCTTCACTATCGTGTTCCTTGATCAATTCTCTATCGTTTGGTATGTATTTCGTTTCCCTAGCTCTAAAAATGGCGCGTTGGGAGCGCCGGAAGTCGGCAAGGTCACAGTCGGCGGCAGAAATTCGAAAAATCAAAATTTAAATTTTTGAAATCTGATTGTATTTTTGGATTTGGGATGTCCATTTGCTCCCTATAGAAGCTAATATTGCTGCATATTCCCATTGAGGTGACAAGAATTAGCAAAATAGTGGTTCGGGCGCTTTTCAAAAATAGTACCGGACGCTGTTCCTCTTGTGACGTCATAGCTCCGTGACCTGACCTGACCCGGTCAAGTTTCTTATACCATATGATAGCCAATACTTGCCCCAACATGCATGGGAAGTTTCATCACGATCCATCAACCGATGTCCGTACCACCGGCAGGAAACCTCGGGCGTTGGCACTCAGTTTGTGAAAATCCGGCCGGAGGCTGTTCCCTTTGTGACGTCATAACTCCGTGACCTGACATGACCCGGTCAAATTTTTTTTATCAAAAGATGCGCAAGGTTTGCCCCATAAGGTACCCAAAATTTGGCGGCGCTGCGCGCCGCCGTTTTTGCACTATTTCCGAAAAACCTCAGGGGGGGGGGGGGGGTTGCACCAACCCCCCCCCCCTACATGGGCGAGGGTTAAGGATATATACCACTCCCAAATATATATTTTTTCTTGCTACAGTTAAATGATTATTTTATGACAAAAATGATGCCGATTAAAAAACATGTTTATGATTTTTTACTTATAACAGGTATACGAAGAATTATATTCTATCTTCCGTTGGAACTAAATATGGTGGCGGAGGATATTACGCGTTCACCAATCATATTGCGTTCTTAAAAAAAAAAACAGCTGCACGCTGATTGGCTGACACTGGCCTCTCCGACAGCCGCTTTTTAGATGTCTGCGAAAAAGAGGACGGGGGAGGCGACTACCCCATCCCCCGGCCCGGCGAGGGATAAAGGTCCAAATAAAGGCTACTAAACGATGTGATAGAAGTTTTTTCTGAAACAATCGAATCGACATAGTGGACCTAGTCTTATATAATACTGAACGAGGCCGGTGTAAATAAATTTTCAAGACCGAGGTCCTTACTGGATTTTTGAACGAGGCCGAAGGCCGAGTTCAAAAATCAGTAAGGACTGAGGTCTTGAAAATTTATCACCGGCCGAGTTTGGTATGTATTTTACTGTATGCCAACGATAAATTTATTTTCTGGACCGAAGCTCTTAGCCGACTTAGGAACGAGACCATCCCAAAATGTTGGCTTTAGTGCATTCTGGTAATGCATTTTTGACCGTGGTCAATTTGCTTACACCAGTTATTACCACACCCCTCTGGCTAATGTATTTGAATAGGCCAGGCATACAGTAATTAACAGGACCGATTGCTATTCCCCACGAAATGTGAGTCCAACGAACCAAACCCACGTAGCTTGGTAACGCGGTAATTAAACGTCAAGCCAACATACATCAGAGCAGCAAAACTTCAACGCAAAGGACTGAAGAAGAGCACGGTCTGTGTCGGTAAGAAAGATGGTATCTTCACAGTGCGGCAGATGTTGCGCGCAAAGCAGCATATACCACCACAGTTTTACAGAGGTTTTAGTATACCTAATGTTTTAAAATTGCGGAAGGCGGACGCATGTGGACCGCTCTTCTCGTCGGTCCGCATGTGTCTGATGAGACTTTATTGAACAATGAATCGTGCCTTGCAGAAACAGCAGCCATACAGCCGCTACCCCTGTGTGGGTCCCCATGTGTTTAGTGAGGCGTGACGGTTGAGTGAACCGTGCAGTGCAGATGGAGCAGCCGTACGGCCGCTCCCCAGTGTGGGTCCGCATGTGTTTAGTGAGGCGTGACGGTTGAGCGAACTGTGCAGTGCAGATGGAGCAGCCAAACGGCCTCTTCCCAGTGTGAGCACCTATGCATCTGTTTGGTTAGGTTTGACAGCGAAGCGAAGCGAACCGTGCCGTGCAGGTTGAGCAGCCATATGGCCGCTCCCTCGGGTGGGTAGGCATTTGTTTCATGAGACTTCCCCGTTGAGCGAACAAAGCCCGGCAAGTTGAGCACTGAGCAGCCTTACGGCCGTTCCTTCGTGTGGGTACGCATGTGTTTGCTGAGACTTCCCCGTTCATTGAACTGGGCCTGGCAATGTGAAGAGCCATACGGCCGCTCCCCAGTGTGGGTTCGCATGTGCGTATTGAGGTGTGACCGTCGAGTGAACCGTGACTTGCAGATGGAGCAACCGAAAGGTCGCTCTCCAGTGTGGGTCCGCATATGTGTCGTAAGGTTTTGCTGTTTAGCAAAGCGTGCTGTGCAAACGGAGCAACCGTAAGGCCGCTCCCCCGTGTGGGTACGTATATGTTTGTTGAGATCTTCCCGCCTAGCGAACTGAGCCTGGCAATGTGAACATCCGTGCGGCCGCTCCCCAGTGTGGGTCCGCATGTGTCTGGTGAGATATGACCGTTCAGTGAACCGTTCCTTGCAGATGGAGCAGCCGTATGGCCGCTCCCTAGTGTGAATCCGCATGTGGTTGTTTAGGATTGCTCGAACAGAGAACCGTGCAGTGCAGATGGAGCAGCCGTACGGCCGCTCCCCAGTGTGAGTCCGCATGTGTATAGTGAGGGTGGACGGTTTGGTGTACCGTGCCGTACAGATAGAGCAGCCGTATGGCCGCTCCCCAGTGTGGGTTCGCACGTGTGTGGTGAGGTTGGACCGTCCTGTGAACCGGGCCGTGCAGATAGAGCAGCCGTATGGCCGCTCCCCAGTGTGGGTCCGCATGTGATCGGTGAGACCTGACCGCCTAGAGAACCGTGCCTTGCAAATGGAGCAGCCGTATGGCCGTTCCCCTGTGTGAGTTCTGCGGTGGTTTTTCATACAGTCGGACCTGTCGGTCGAGTATTGACACCACTCGCACTTCAAGCTGCCGTTCCTGCCCATATGACCGTGACTTCTCTTCACGTGTCCGTCCAGACAATGTTTTCCCAAACATCTGAAGCCGCATTGGGGGCATTGGACCGAGCCACTGATGCCTGAAGAATACACAGAAAGAAGGCCATTAAAAAAACGTTTCATGCTAAAGCAGGTCGCATTATGCGACCTGCTTTAGCATAGAACGACCTAACCCGGTTAGGTCGCAAGCCGAAATGTCAGTTCAAGTTACGAACCGAGCCCATGTAAGTTGGCATATAAACGTCGTGCCTGCATACGTCAAAGTAGCAGAACTTCTCAACGAACCGGGCAAAAAAACAGTCTACTGTCGGCAGAAGGGTAAATGGCATTACCAGCGTCACTTCGATGGACACCATAGCTCTCGGAGCCGCAAACGATGAACTGACCTGAAGATGAAGGTCCGGCCGGAGAGGAAGTCACAGACTCCCCAGATGTCTCCGAGTGGACGGTCAGTTCCCGGGCCGAGTCGTCTCCGTAGTACACCAGCAGCTCAGAGCCCCGCGGAATGGCCTTTGACGTCCTGCATAGGGAGATAAATATAGCATTATTGATGAAAGCTTGATTGGTGTAGTCACAACACTTACACTGTCATTAATAACTTCGACGAATCCATTAAAGAAAAATATGGGCCACAGGACGAACCGCGCATAAAATACGTAACGCAGTTAGGAAGAATAGATCCGTGGATTCCAAGACTACAACGCACCTGAAGTATACCTGGCCCCGGTACTGGAAGGCCACTAGGTTTTGTTCTTCCTCCGAGCGGGCACAGTTGACCCTTCTGAGCCAGTTGCTGCAGCTCGGGTCTTCGGCATTCACCGAGTGATGCACGCGCTTACCCTTCTTGATCTGTGGTACCAAACAAAAACGTAGTTCATCATTTCAAAGAAAAAAGTAAAAATATGGCATGTGCAATGAAAACATTATAAAATTTATATGTTGCTATCATTGGTCTTAAATTGTTTTTTTTTAATAGCTTTTATCGTTGAAGTAAGTCTAAAGTGAAAATATGCGTTTTTTACCTGCAAAACAACACAACTGAACTGACCTGCCATCTGTACCCGGTTGTTCGACTTCGGGCCTGACCCTGCTCGGTGGTCAAGGTGCCCTCGTAAGGACCGAGTCTTTGGCGCGCAGGTATGTCCTTCTCCGCCAAAACTCCTGGAATCAAATAAATACAAGCCTTCACCTCAACTAAATGGACACAACATGTACTGATACATGGGACATGAAATCATACAACACAAGCAACCATCACCAAATGATGCATCAAATCAAACGTCCAGCAGCAGTTGTTACGTATCGCCATTTGTCTTGCCTCATTAACTTACCGGTGCCAGACGCTGGATTTGTCGACGGACCAGAGCTGAGAGAAGGCGGGAGAGTCTTGACGTCCCTGTCGACATCTCCGATACCGGGTCGTGCCTGGAATGTTCAGCGCATGTGGGGCGCAATGTCGACAATACAATCAATGCATTGAGATTATCTTAAGCCTGTTTGTAAATCAGACGGGTATGTTTTGTGGATATAGATCATGAACCTGTTCTTGACCACGTACCCATGACAGTATTACCTGCTAACAAGACAGAAGCAAAGCAATAATATAACTATGAGCATGGATTAGAGTAAATACTTCATCCATGCTATGAGGAAGAGGATTACGTAAATGTGAAAGAAATAGATCATTTTTACATGAAGCTCATGTCGTTCCGTCACTAGGGCATCAGGCACAATTGGTCATATTATTTAATGTCTAAATAAGAGAGGAGTCATGTGTAAAGAATACGAATCAGACCAGTATGGACCAGTCCTTACCTTGGTATCGTGTATGATCTTTAGCGGTCCATGGACGGGACATTCACCGTCCCAATCGCGGCAGCACACGTCACAAACTGTCAGAAAGAAGGGCGAAAAAAGTATTAGCGATTTGATGAAGAGCAGACCAAGGTTTAATCGTTCAAGGTTCCGTTAGACGGAAACAATGCGTCTGTATTCGGTTTAATTTGTCTGCAATATGAGTGCTTGTCGTGTACATTCGCCCGTTGATGAGGACAAGGTAGCTGACTAAAAATGGGAGAAATACTCACATATGTTACTATCATCGAGACCATCCACATCTCGGTAGTTAATGACGAAACGTCGACTCTTGATGAACACTCCTTCAGCAAAAACTGCAATAAATTCAACAGGGTAATCAATAATTCGGTGGCATTTCGGTAACGCGTCAGTTCAATAGAGTGCATGCAATTGAACATAAGAATGGTTCGATAATGTCATTCAATCACTTTGTAGAGTACGAAACCAAAAATAAAAATAAAACTTACATTTTCTCTGAAAAGGGCACAAAAGTAAGACCGAGGATATCACGATAAACCCATTGCTTACAGTCTCTTCACAGTTATATAAACTTACCTTCAGTAGAGTCTCGAATGGCAGACGAACAACCAAGTAACAGACTCCTTTTTGCATTGGAGATGAAACAGGCACTGAAAGAACAGACAAATGCAAATATTATTAGAATTCATCAAGGATAATATATCATTGTCTACTATGTCAAATAACAACTAAAATTTCAACAACAGCACTGAATCATGCCCTAACCTGTCCCGGTCCACCTCAGTGAACCCGATGAAGTCCTCAGACGGTGACGGTGATCGAGGTCGGTACTTTTCCTCCTTCACTAAAGAATGCAGAGCGCGGTCCGAGAAAGGATCGTCGTCCGACACCGAGGGAGACGACGGCCGCTCAACCTAGACCGGATCAACAGACAAACAATATTCAATGAAACATGAGATGTTTATCCTCCACAGATATACAAATTGGAACACATTATGCGCTGTCATTCCCTTTTATTAACCTCGCAGCTAAAAACCAATGAGAGGTGAGCACCATGCATTTGAACACGTACCCTTGGTGAAGTGACTTCAATCTTTATCTCCTCCTTCACAACTGGCCGAAAGTCGCTCTCAGAGCCACTGTCTATGGGAGTGCAGTTCCTCGGCCTCTGAGACTTCCTCACACTCTGTGACGGACCCCATTCCCCGTCGCTGTCAGCGGAGCCCTCCAGAGACCACTTTGGTCCTTTTGGTGACATTGATGCAGCCCTCATGAGCGGCAGTAGTTCAGACACTGGTGGATCTGGAATAGGGTCCAATGTCCTTTGTCAGTTCACATTGAGTTGACTAAATGAAAGCACAAAACGGAGAAGTTATGTAGCAAGAAAATACAAAGTTGCAGAGTTATCACCACCAATAATTGAATATTCCTTATGGAATTAATACCCATAAAACATCTCTCAATAATGACAATGACATGGTTTGCCAACAAGAATGCAGCAGGAAAATAATGGAGGTGCTCCGATACCTAGCATTTAGATCCTGGCTTTATATGAAAAAACTGTAGCCTCAAATGATCTCTGATGACCTTTCTAGAGGGCAGGCTAGCAGCCAAAGACACCTTTGTTGTCACAAGTTGTCCAAATCATTGCGATTCTGAAATATTTTTATTGTTCCTCCTGACCTGGCAGGCTGACATGACCTCAACCTGGGGTCAAAAATTTCATATGTTGTCAAAAAATGATGAACTACAAGCTACTCCAAGCGGTGAGGCGCTTCGCACCAGTTTTTTTATTCACACGCAAAAAACTGGGCAGGGTGGTAACAAATGCCCCCCCCCCCCACTGAGGCAAAGGTTAAAACTGGGTAAATACTATTAGAATTGTCTCGTGGCGACCTACATGATGGTACTTTCCATTTCCCACTGTTGAAGCTTCTTCCTTACCCATGGATGCCTAGACAAAATCATTGCGTCAGGTTTGAGGTTAGGTAAGGTCTGGTTACCGTAAAACGGGGTGTTAAGGGACAGTTTCGAGGTGTTTTGTTATATAACTCAAGAAGGGTTGGAGATAGAAGCATCAAATTGTCAGCATTTTATGTGGAATTTGGTGCTTTACATGCCTGCCACATTAAAGTTTTTAAGATTTATACCTGCATATTATTTTTCATTATTTTTCATCACTGTCCCTTAGCACCCCAATGTGGGGTGTTAAGGGACACCTATATTATTCCAAGAAATGGTCATCAAATGCACACAATTGGGGTGTGGAAGGGCACACAATTTATTTTTTGAAATGTTTTGCATATTCTGTCACAAAGCAAGTCAGGTTCATTCACCACTAATGACCTTTTTAGCCAATTACGTGTAATGCAGTTTACGCTTGTGGAAAATGTGCTAATTATAAGGTAAACATAACCAAAAAGTAATCTTCTGTCATCAATAAAAACCCATGTTGAAGCTAGTCACTTGTCATTATGTTGCCCTCTTTGTTTTAGCCTTTTCATGATGACATCCAGGCATCGGTAAAATCCTTTTTGAAAGGATTGCATTCCCAATCCACATTCCTAGTGCCGAAGTGGATTGCATTCCTATCCGCAATCCCCTTTTTCACTTGGATTGTGATCAAATCCGCAATCTTTTTTTGCAATCCTGTTGTATTATTATGTGCACTAGTTGATCTGGGGGAGGGAGGGGGGCATAGGGCCGTGCCTTCATCCCCAAATCACCCATTTCTAGTACCTAGTTAGGCTTGCGAGTAATTCCTATCTAAGGCACATATATTATGGGAAATATTTTTGCCTCAAACACCCCCACATTTAAACAGCTACCCAACCAGTGTTTTATATTTTTAAAACTTGCCCTCAAATACGTAATTTTGCCCTTCCTATGTAGTTCATCAGCGTATATTATTTTGAGCGTTTAAATTAAAAGCGTTTAAATTATTTCAAGTTTCGATGTAAAGCCCTTGATAGCAAAGTATTAAGCCGATGAAGCCGATCTCATAATTTTCAATCGCAACAAACCATTTCAAAGCACTAATCAAACACAATCCGGATTGGATTGCAAAAATTGGAAGTATGATGCAATCCAATCCGCAATCAAATCCTGTTTTTTGGGATGGATTTCAAATCCAGGTGCAGTCCACCAAAAAGGAATGCAATCAGGATTTTGCAATCCTGCAATCACAATCCTACCGATGCCTGATGACATCACATATACCTACATCAGTCTCCATTAACCCATCATTGTAAAAGAGAGTGTTGAGATGTTTTGTTACATAACTTAAGATGTGTTAGAGATAAAAGCATGAACTTGCCAGCATTTTATGTGGAATTTGGTGTTTTCCATGCCTACTGAAAGAAACCTTAATGAAATTATATTTAGATATTAATTTTTATTTTTCTTCCCTGTCCCTTAGCACCCCACATCCATCTCAAAATATGCATGTATCCGGAGAAGAGGAAGAGGATGATGAATGAATGGGTGGATTTGCACAAGTTTTTCAGGAAACATGTGCAATACATGTGACAATACACCTATGCATTCATTTTCCCTGTACACCCACTAGTTTATGTGGTACACAGAGAGTTTTGGAGATGTTTCAATTTTGTGAAAATGTAGCATGATTTTCAAATCCATTTTGAACCAAATCACTTGCATGAAAAACCATACCATTTTGTCCTATGGTCAAGAGCAAACCAGTGTCAACTACCACACTGAAGTTTTTATTGAACCTTCTCAAATTAGTAAGTTAATATGACTCAAAGTTTTTCCCATGCAGCTGTCCCTTAACACCCCACTGTCCCTTAACACCCCATTTTATGGTATGTTTCTTTTTTAATATTTTGGAGACACCTACCTTACCATCATATCTGGATTTAGCACATTAAAGGGACCCTCCCACCTTCAAAAAAGTTAATGAATTGGCATAGAAGTGATGTCCCTTGGTTCGGAAATATCAAAAATGAATATGTACCAAATTTCACCGTAAAATATTCACTGGATTTCAAGATATTAGGCTTTTACTTTTGTTTACTTTTTGGAATCTCTGCTGTTCCTAGCGACTATTTGAAAGTGCGGCACTTGTTGCGCTTAAAACAGCATATTCCACAACGTGCTACCAAATGTTTTAGTAAAACATTTAAAATCATTAGATCTCCGCTGACATCACAAATTCTAAGGGGGCATTCCGGTGCAGTCGCCCCTTAGAATCCGAAAACTGCAAGTTTGAAATTCCATATCTCCAAATTAAAGCATTTTTCGATGTTGTTGTGAGTGCCCAAACCGGTACTGAAGGCCATGGCCACCAATTTGGCTATCTCAACTCAAAACTAATGTTAAGGTGGGATGGTCACTTTAAAAATGGAAGAATACGTATTACGTAAGTAGGTACTACTTACTTTTGAAAAGTGAGTCGATGCTATTATACCGAACTTACCATGCTGATCCATCTCAATCTCCAAATCAAGATCCCTCGTTTTCTGTGCGAGTCCGCTCAGAATGAGAATTCTATAGATGGCCTTGATGAGAATAAGTTGAAGTCAAAGTTGAAGTGCGCATCACTAGCATCACACGACGCGTGCTCTCACTTTTTTTTTTTTAGTGGCCCTAACTTACGTTACCGGCGTGGTAGCAGCCAAGGCTATATAAACCAGGTAGAACGCTCCGGGAAAAAAGTTGGAAACAATAAATTAGTTGCAGCATTCCCTGATGACGCGAATGTGGGTCAGCGGCCGGCGGCCGGCGGCCGCTAACACTGTATGAGGATGAGTGCACGGAACTTTTGCTTGTTGGAGATTGCGCTAGGCAGTTAAATGTTAATGTTAGGATATGTTTCGAAAGTAAATTGAATGACGCTTCGAACGCCGTCAATGAATTTGCGATGCGACGCGTATTTGTTTAGTTAGAGCCGGCGAACTTTTACCTTCCGACCGCGCGGGGAGGCGATATGGTGCCACACTGACGGTTTTTAAGATAGCTCAAAATTCTTTTAAGCTAAAGAGCTGAAATTTGACTCGTCCAATCTTTTTATCAAGCTGGATCTTCTGGTACAGGTCGCATATTTAAGGTACGCCAGGTTGTTGACCTATGTTGTCGCTCGTGAGCCTCTGCACAGGGTTGGCAAGGGGTGGCAAAAACTGGTTTTTGCCAGTGGTTTTAACCGGTTTAAACCGGCTGGCAGAAACCCTGGTGGCAAAAACTGGCAAAAACTCAGGTAGTCAAGACTTGCAACTTTTCTGGTTAGCAATTGATTTGAAATGTACAAATGCATTTGTGGATGTTTAAGAGACGCGCTAAACATTCTGAAGTTTGCCCCATTAGTTACCCGGGCTGCAATGTCTATGCATGTCGGTAGACATCCGTCAGACAATGCATTTCCGAAGAATCTTGGCATTTCCATGCATCACGGTTAGGGTGCTACCTACTGCAGGTGCACACGTGCGGGGGTTGCTCTCGACCAGATCTCGAGAATGGCTCTGCCGATTGCGCTCAAATTTGGTACACCGTTCAGACAGATTAGTATGGGTGTCGCAGATAAGTCAGTCGGGATCAACTTTCTACAAGCGTACGTGTGGGACGACACTTCCAGTTCTCGAGAAAGGCTGCGTCGATTGAGCTCAAATTTGGTACTAATACCGTTAGGAACCAGTGAGTATGGGTGCCGTCACGTGCACAAATAAGTGGCAGGCACCCCTTCGCACTTCTGCATGTGCAGGAATCACTCATGCACTGGCTCATTTGTCGCCCCAAAAAGACGTACAGGTTACTAATGGAAAGCGGGAAGCCCATGGAAATGTTTTTATTGTATGAAACACTGGTCGAATGGCCAATATGTCACTTCTTTTTGAAAGCATATAACTTTCACTGAATCATCCTTAGAATGTATCCAATTCAAATGCATGTCTAGGCAAAGCATTGTAATGGTTTTGAGTTTTTGCCAGTTTTTGCCACTTTTTGCCGGTTAAAACCGGTTTAAACCGGCAAATGGCATAAACTAGTTTTTGCCGGCAAAAATGCCAACCCTGCCTCTGCACAGTCCAAAAGTTGTCGCTCGTGAGCCTCTGCACAGTCCAAAAACAACGCAATTTCTGAACACTCAGTGCCAAGAAATCCTTCACACAAAGATGACACTTGGCAGAAAGAAGAGCTGTCGGTTTCTTATCGTTCGTATGTGTCGTGTTTTCACAAGAGTTTAGTAAGGTCAGGTCCGTCACGTGACCTCCCCTCATAACTCAATAGGTTTACTTTCATAGAAGCGTTTATCAATCGCCGGAAATCTTAGCCAATCCCACTGGACACTGGATCCATACCCACATGGGGCCCTCCTGACTGGCCACTCCCTCTGAAATTCACAATAACATTGGGCTGCGGCCACGGTTATGTATTAATGCTTTTCACTGACAGAAATACAACAACTTCAACCACCACAGTGCACGCCGCCACAACAGTCCGACCCACGTCCCTGATATCGACTAGCACCCGGCCGGATGCACATACGCGGAGCCAATCAGTCCGAATGTGACATGAAGCTTACAATTGCTGTGTCGCATGGCGCATGGCACAGGACGATTCCTAGCAGCTGTCGGCTGAAGTGGAGAAACAGCACGTTGCGATACACCGCGCCGGCGACAGAGCTCAGCAGGGCTGGTTTGAGGCTAAAGCCGGAGGTAAGGGCGGACACAGGCACATACATTGCAGGACAAATAGCAGGATGTCAGTTAGGGATATAATTCAAGACAAATGATTCAAGACGGACTGAAATAATGTACATTCTGCTCACTTAGATACCAACTTCAAACTTGACATTTATAGCACCACGGAAACAATTGGCACACAGGAAAGAAACAAAAGATACGGTGTTTTTAACTCAAGGAGGTAAAAAGAAATTGCATATGATGGAACAGCCCAAAGTGCAGACAAGCACATATTTTTGGTAATAGCTATCAGCTGTCCTACTTCTCTTCTCCCTTCACCAACTACTGGACACATTTGAAGCATCATATTAGCACCAATGTCCATAACAAAAGCTTGCAAGTAGTTTTATGAAGCCAAGGGAAATATGCCTACATCATGCATGTAAGCTCAAAATGCATTACAAAGGAAGGTTATCTAAAGAGAATAGTGGGCAAAAGCATTTCATAGTTAAATTATTCAAAACTGCACACAGGGCAAACAAAAAGCAGCAAGTGTAGTGTTCTGTTATGCTTAAAAATAGTCCAAAACAAAATACAATCTGTTCTTGTTTGAATTGGTTGTTCTTCTATGCCACTTCATCCATATCTTGATTACAGATGGGCTGTTACTGTAGGCTAATGAAGTGACACATGATTGCCTTTGTGCGAGTTTCAGTTGCAGCCAATCCTAGGTACTGCACTGGAAAGCAGATTGAATTGAATGCCTCTGAAAGATAGGAATATAAGCAAAGTTAGCTGTAGTAGTGTCAATGATAATAGACATGACATTTTTGTCTTTTGACATACATTTGTTGAAGTACAAAAAGGTACAAAATAAATTGGTTTGTTTCAAGACACGCACACTGCACAAAGCCGCACAGACATTACACAAGCATATGAAATTGGTACACATAAAACTTGATGATTAAAAAGGTCAAAACTAGCAACAATAATTAATTGAACTAAAAGTTACAATCACAATCATTTGATTTAAAATGACTTGACAAAGTCACAAGACGCAACGCTCCCATTCACTTAAGAAAAGTTTTATGCTTTCATTATCCTCCACATATCAACCAGCTTGATACCAGGCTGTGCAATAGTGGGTATACCTATAACCCCGTGTTTCCATTTTCTTAGAGCAAGTGGGGTTACAACAACAATGCTAATGTCAAACCCACATCTGCAACCCGTACTGAAGTTTTAATCACCTTACAAGAACACCTTCTGGCAGTTTTATGGGCAGAATGGTCATAACTACTTTCTCCTCATATTCAACACAAATTATCTCTTATACAGATACAGTTTAGACTTGGTTATGGCAAGCATTTTCGAGAAAAGATATGATAAAAGTCCAAGACAAAGGTCGAGAGAAACAACACCAACATAAAACACCGACTATGTAGCACTAATACTATCAAATTCATAAAAATATATACATGAGTCGATCAGAAATTCACTGTAGATTTCGAAAATGGTGTCAAATGCCACTCAAATACCCCCATTCGCCTGTACGAAGCAATATAACACTGACCTTCACTTCCGCGTGCCATTCTCCATAGGCCACTGCGTATTAAATAACGCGTTCACTGATCGCAAAAAAATGAGACCCACATATGACGCGTTTGCTACCAGCCAATCAGCGCTCGAGATGCCGAGCGCTGATTGGTGGAGAGGGCCGTCGTCAGCAGTCCATTACATGTTGTTTTTCTTGAACATATTCGTGAGCAGCTGATGCTGCTCACGGGTTGTTTCCATTTTTCGTAATGCTGAAGGCACGGGAGCGAACCCCCCTGGTAGCAGCAAAACTGCGTCATAAATGTCGAAATCCAAGGCTCAGGGTCATCGAAATCAACGTCCATCAATTGAGCAGCAGATTGATATTCGCGAATATCAAACTGAAAATTCGATATTCGGACGGGGAACGCAATAACTCAAGAACCAGTGAACCGATTTTGATGAAAAGGCCCTCATTCGATTCCTCGTTCCTTATTGCAGGTTGACGGCGATTTCCAGGTCACTAGGTCATGACCTTGAAGGTCAAGGTCAAGGTCAAAGGACGGGGAACGCTCTACCGATTTACATGCGGTAATTTTTGTAGCGGGTAGCTTCATTCCTTCTACTAAGTATTGGACTATTCCCGATGCATGTGGGTGACCCCTTATGCACGTGCCACGTGCAAAACGAAGGGGTATCAGTTTTGTAATAGTTGCAATATCTCGGTAACTACTTGGCCGATTGCGCTTGAAGTTGGCATGTAGGTAGGCACCCACTAGGCAATGCATATCCATTATCCATGTGCCAGAGTTGGGGTGCTGCTGCACGTGCGCACGTGCAGGGGTCGATTCCAGATCTCGAGAACGGCAGGACCGATTGCGCTCAAATTTGGTACGCAGTTAGGGACCGGTTAGTAGGGTGCCGTGCAAAAGTCACTTGGGACCCATTTTGCACGTGCGCACGTGCAGGGTGCCGCTTCCAGATCTCGAGAACAGCTGGGCCGATCATGTCCTCAAATTTGGCAAATCGCTGGAGACCGGTTAGTAGGGTGCTGTGCACACGTCAGTTGGAGATACCCCCTCACAATTTCGCATGTGCAAGGCCCACCCTCTCGCTCGCTCCGTTAGTCGCCCCAAAAGGCGTTATACTGGTATTGTAAGCTTTACATGCCACGCCGATCTCCTTTCGGCCTTCGCCTTGTCGACAAAGGCCGCGCAGAAATGCTACGAATAAAGGAATGAGTGGTGGTCACGAAAAATGTATTGTCCCTCAAAGTAGCTGGACATTATTCACAAATCACAGCGCTACGACACTGTACCAAATAGCGACACTCCTTAACTCCTATGTGGAGGCGGATAGTTAAGAACACAACTACTGAATCACCGTGTGTTAACATAAAGAAACAAGATGTGACACTC